TGGATGGGTGGGTGTGTAGAAGGATGGATGATGGATGGGTGGATGGTTGGGTGGGTGGGTGGATGATGGATGGATGGATAGGTGGGTGGGTAGATGGATGGATGATGGATGGATGTATGGATGTTTGGATGAATGGGTGGCTGGATGGATGAATGGGTAAAGGATGGATAGATGGTTGGTTGGATGTGTGTGTGTGTGTGTGTGAGTGTACATGTGCCAATGTGGTGTTTTTCTTTAGGTTCTAGTTTTGAAATTTTTACATCGAGAGGCTCAGGAAGGTTCCACTGGTCTGTGACAATCTAGGACACATGGGCCGCAGGTGTGAGGCACCTGGGGCATCTACTGCCGTGTTGATGCTCCTGTGTCACAGGCTGCTGCTGACAGTGGCTACTTTTCTCTGCTAAACATGTGCTGTCGTTTTCCCCGCAGGTCTCTTACCCAATCAGAGGCCCCCCTACCCACCCCAGCCGGGAATGCCCCACAACACTGGAGGTAAGTGGTGTGCTCCCTCAGATCCTCTGCACGCTGCCTGGACAGAGCCTGCTTTGTCTTGCCTGTGGGAGGATGGGTGAATGGATGGGTGGATGGATGCATACATGGTTAGAGAGTGGATGGATGGATGGATGAAAGGTTGGAATTGAATGGAGGGATGGATGGGTGGGTGTGTAGAAGGATGGATGATGGATGGGTGGATGGATGGGTGGGTGGGTGGATGGATGGATGATGGATGGATGGATGTTTGGATGAATGGGTGGATGGATGGTTGAATGCGTGATGATGGGATGATGAATGGATGTATGGATGGGTGGGTGGATGGATGGATGAATGGGTAAAGGTGGATGAACGGGTGGTTTTGTGTGTGTGTGTGTGTATGTGTGAGTGTGTGCATGTGTTTATGTGGGATTTTTCTTTAGTTTCTAGTCTTGAGATTTTTACATCGAGAGGCTCAGGGAGGTTCCACTGGTCTGTGACCTTCTATGACACATGGGCCGCAGGTGTGAGGCACCTGGAGCATCTACTGCCGTGTTGATGCTCCTGTGTCACAGGCTGCTGCTGACAGTGGCTACTTTTCTCTGATAAACGTGTACTGCCGTTTTCCCCGCAGGTCTCTTACCCAATCAGAGGTCCCACTACCCACTCCAGTCGGGAATGCCCCACAACACTGGAGGTAAGTAGCGGGCTCCCTCAGGGTCCTCTGCAGGCTGCCTGGACAGAGCCTGCTTTGTCTTGCCTGTGGGTTTCCTCAGCTGCCTTTGAAATGCGGAACGGGTCTCACTCTGCAGGAAACCGACTCGCACTCTCAAGCACGGGGGGTGGAAAGATGAACTGCATCATGCATTTCATTCTCTGTTGCTATGACGGTTGCAAAATAGGGTCTTCTTGGTGGATACTGAACGTTATTGTGATGCATTTTTAATTAGGTCGAGGATAAGTTCCGTTTTCGTATGTTTGCACGGTTCCAAATGATGTACCCCCTAAAAAGCCCACCTTGTATGCTGTGTATTGTATGTCATTTATCCTTTTTGTCTGTGGGGTTTCAATCGCTTGGGAGACGAGCTTCCTGTAGAATTCTGTTGAAAATTTAAGTGAAAGGAAACATTGATGGAGAACATTGTTAAACTCCTTAGCAATCACAAAGTGGTGAAAACATAAAAGCAAGACCAGGCAGTGCTGAATGAAGCAAGGCTAAGGGAAGGGCTTCCAGAAGTGGTCCCAGAGTCCCGTTCTGGTGCTGAGCTGGATAGAAATTTATCTCCTCTCAGGCTGGGGGTCGCTCAACATTGGGATGAGGGCCCAAGGAAGGTATTACCCAACTGAAAATTAAAAAACAGTAACACCTGCAGCCTCAGTTTACAGGTGCTCTCAACACCATTTACCTTTCCTTTTAAAAATTTCTGTCCACTGTTAACACTCCAAGCTCAAGACCCTTTCCTCCAACTTATTCCTTCTAGAATTTCTTTTTTAAAATATTTTTTAATATTTATTTTTGAGAGAGAGAGAGTACATGAGCAGGTGAGAAGCGCAGAGAGAGGGAGACCAAGAATCTGAAAGAGTAAAATGTTTTTTATTAATTTTTGAGAGATAGAGCAAGAGTGGGTAAGGAGAGGAAAGAGACGGAGACACAGAATCGGAAACTGGCTCCAGGCTCTGAGCTGTCAGCACAGAGGTGAACACGGGGCTCAAACCCATGAACCCTGAGATCATGACCTGGGTCAAAGTTGGACTGACTGAGCCATCCAGGCGCTCCTACACCCAGAGGGCAATACCACTCGTAGGTATAGACCAGCAGCACGATTCACCAATAGCAAAGAGTTGGTGATAGACTAATGTCCATGGAGGGAGTGAGGGATGGGTGGGTGTATGGATGGATGGATGGATGGTTGGATGAGTGCGTGTTGGATGAAATATGGGTGAGTAGATAATTGGTTGGATAGTGGTTGGATGGATGGATGGATGGATGGATGAGTGAATAGATGGATGAATGGGTGGATGATGGATGGATGGATGGATGGATGGGTGGGTGGGTAGAAGGATGGATGATGGATGGGTGGATGGTTGGGTGGGTGGGAGTATGATGGATGGATGGATGGATGGATGGATAGATGGATGGAAGGGTTGGTGAATGGATGGATGAATGGGTGAAGGATGGATGGATGGGTGTGTGTGTGTGTGTGTGTGTGTGTGTGTGTGAGCGTGTGTGTGTGCACCAGATGAGGTTTTTCTTTAAGTTCTACGTTTGAGATTTTTACATCAAGAGGCTCAGGAAAGAGGGTCCAAGGAAGCCGTTACCCACTCGAAAAGCAAGAGTAACACCCACGACCTCATATAAAGGGTGCTCACATCACTGTTTTTCCTTCCTTTTAAAAATTTCTGTGCAACCTCAAGTGTATGATTCTCCAACTTGTTCTTCCTGAAATTTACTTAAAAATGTTTTTAATTTTTTAAACATTTTATTTATTTTAAATTTTGAGAGAGAGAGAGAGAGACAGAGCATGTCAGAGCAGAAAGCGAGAGGGGAGAGAGAGAGAGTGAGAGAATCTGAAGGAAGAAAATTTTTTATTTATTTTTGAGAGAAAGAGAGAGCATGAGGTGGGGAGAATCAGAGAGGGAGGGAGACACATAATATGAAGCAGCTACAGGCTCTGAGGTGTCAGCACAGAGCCCGACGTGGGGCTCGAACCCACAAACCGTGAGATCATGACCTGACCCAGGCGCCTTGAATTTTTTTCATGAGTGTACATTATTTTTCAAAAAACGGTGCAAATCCATCAAATTCAACAAATAGACGAAAAAGATATCAAGGGCCCCTTACTGGCAATATGGTGCCTTGAACGCCCTGCACGGGGCAGACGTGGGTCATCTCGCGTCGTGGGGTGGACGCAGAACCCTTTCCTCTAGCTCCTCATTCGTATCTGCTCTGTTGATGCACTTCCTTGTGCGGAGTCGAGGGCGGGCGGGCCGGTGGGGTTACTCACCCTGGTGCTCTGTCGCCCTGCAGGTAACACGATAGCGACAATCGTGTCTCCCGGGGTATCCGAATTGGTCGTGACCCTGGCGGGTGGGAGCAGAGCCCTTTCTTTTAGCTCCTCATTCGGAGCTGCTCTGTTGATGCACTTACTTCCTTGTGCAGAGTGGAGGGCGGGCGGGCGGGCAGGGTCGCTGACTCCAGTGATCTCTCTCCCTGCAGGTAACATGATAGTGACAATCGTGTCTCCCGTGGTGTCCGTGTTGGTCCTGACTGTGCTGGGCGTGGCTGGTTATTTCCAGTGGAGGAGGGGCGGCAGTTGCTACTGCACCAACGGCAAGTGTCTCGCTCTGGAACATTCCTTCCTGCGCCGGGCACGTGACTGGATGTTTCTGGCCACATCTGGGCTGGCGCCCTGGCCTGAGGAAGGGGTTCACTAGTGACTTTTTGAGGGACCCAAAGGGGCTTCGGAGGAACCTACACACGACCTTGACCTTGTGAGCCTCCCTGTTACATTTGGGGGCGGTGTGCAGACCCTAGGGAAATGCGAGTGGCCTTGTGACTTTTTGAGGGACCCCGGGGGCTTCAGAGGAACCTGCACACGACCTTGAACTTGTGAGCGTCCCTGTTACATTTGGGGGCGGTGTGCAGACCCCAGGGAAATGCGAGTGGCCTTGTGACTTTTTGAGGGACCCAGGGGGCTCCAGAGGAACCTGCACACGACCTTGAACTTGTGAGCATCCCTGTTATATTTGGGGGCGGTGTGCAGACCTCAGGGAAATGCGAGTGGCCGGGGGTAGGGGAGGAAGGGCGAGCTGCGGTTTTCTGGTTCCACTGGGGTCAGGGTCCCGGGTTTGGAGAATCCCACGCCAGCTGGTGCAGGTGCACGGGGAGCAGAGGTGGTGGGTGCCGGTCACTGAATGTCCCTGAGGACCTGTCCCCGGGGACACACACGGGGCTCTGTTGCAAAAACAGGAGCTCCGAGGGTAACACCCAGGGCATCTGCAGGTTGGCCCCAGGGACCCCGTGTCCACAGGGGTCTGGGGTTTGCAGGGAGGGTCCACCCGCCCCTCCTTCCTGTCCCTACAGAGGCTGTGAAAACCAGCTTGCAGGACGGGCTTCCAAAATCCCCAAACAGCCCCGGGCTTCCCTCTGGCGGCGGATGCCGGGTACTGACCAAATCCAGGCGGGTGGGAGTGCAGCAGGCATCGCCGTCCCCGGGCTCCCCCTGAATACCTAGGGGGAACCCGAGCCTGAGCATCACCCCACTTGAGAGTTTGGAGCAGGTGGATTTAAAAAAAGTTTTTTTAATGTTGATTTATTTTTGAGAAACAGAGTGAGGGGCAGGAGAGGGGGAGACACAGAATTGAAGCAGCAGCAGGCTCTGAGGTGTCAGCACAGAGCCAGACGCTGGGCTCGAACCCACGGACCCTGAGATCATGACTTGCAAAGTCAGAGGTCAAGCGCCTGAGCCCCCTTCCTGGTTTATCCTGCCTAGAAGCTCTTCCCTGAGCTTTTGGACTCACATAAATGCCCATTTACTTGTTCCGTTACTTAGTGTTCACTGATCACGTCACCAGGTCCACAGAGGACCGAGCTTCAGTGACGTTCCGTTCACTCGAGGGACCTCAAGTCCCTCAGTCCCTCAGACAGGCAAGCGTGCACACGACATGGCAAACTGGCCGATTCTTTAAAAAAAATGTAAGTGAAAAGAAACATTGATGGACAACGTTGGTAAACTCCTTAGCAATCACAAAGTGCTGAAAACCTAAAAGCAAGACCAGGCAGTGCTGAATGAGGCAGGGCTACATGAAGGGCTTCCAGAAGTGGTCCCAGGGTCCGTTCTGGTGCTGACCTGGATAGAAATTTATCTCCTCCCAGGCCGGGGGTCGCTCAACATTGCCATGAGGGCCCAAGGAAGGTATTACCCAATTGAAAAACAAAAAACAGTAACACCTGCAGCCTCAGTTAACAGGTGCTCACAACACCATTTACCCTCCTTTTAAAAATTTCTGTCTGGTATTAACATGTCCAAGTGTATGATCCTTTTCTACAATTCTGTTTTTATTTCTTATTGAGAACGTTTTGTCGTTCCCGGCTCTGACTCTGTTCCCGATCTTCCCTTTCAGAACCGGTGCAGGTGTGACGGCCTGGGGTCCCGCGGTCGCCTTGAGAGCGGCTGGGTGTCACGAGGTCCCCGTGCGTCCCTCGTGTGACAGCTCCGTCACCTTCTTAGCCTTGGGTCCCAGGAAGACTCTCTCATCTGTGGCTTGATCACGCTCTGGGCCAGATTTCGAGGCTGCGGTGGGTTCCCCAGAACTACCTCATGGTGCCGGACGTGCACATTGTCCCAAAGTACAGTGGGGGTCTGTGGGTGGGGGGGTGCTGTCTCCTTCTGGGGTTTCCAGCATGTTCCGGGAAGAAACTTGGTCCATGCAGAGTCCTCCTCGGGGAGCTAGCACCCTCCCTTCCAGCTGGAACAATAATTCGAGATTCCCGCTGCTCATCACTGGCTGTGACCATGTAACCCTTACCCGTGCACAGTAGGGCCGGGGTTTGTCCTTGCTGTGTGCATCCTTCCTGATGTGAAGAAGCCACGGGCAACATGTGCGGACTTTTTCCTTGTTTCCTGTGAAACCTTATGATTCCAGTATTTTGGAGGGAAAACAGGGGCCAGTAATTGTGATTTGTGCCTGTTCAGTCTCTTCTCACATTTTTTTTTCATGCCGTAGTCTGTGGGCAGTTGTGTCTGAGGCGATGGCTTCCTGCTTCTGGGTTGATACTTTTTTCCTCCTTTTTACTGCAGTAGAAAATCGTTAAGTCTTCAAGCATCTAAAAAGCATAGTAGGTATTTGCTTCTATTTTAGCGATGTTTTAGGGGAAGATGAGGAAAAGGAAGGATCTGGGCCTATTGATAGAGTTTAATAAGATGATGTGAACGCTGATACGACTTCTGGAGTTTGCACTAAATGTCAGCACGTGTTGAAGTCCGGAACTCAGAAGGGGGCCCAGGAGAGTCCTAAGTCGATGCCTGTGTTGTGCTCAAGGTTATGGACCGGGAGGCAGGTCTCCAAAGAGGCCTTGAATGCAGAAAGTGCTAGAAGAATCTCTCCAAATAGAAAAAGGATTTACAGCGGACGATCTTGATGGGATGTTTCACATCTGTGATTCATCTGCTTTCTGTACCTGTGAGTTTCGGTAGGAGTTTGAGTCTTGAAAACTGTGTGTGTGTGTGTGTGTGTGTGTGTGTGTGTGTGTGTGTGTAGACAGACAGACTCACACCTTCACAGACACCTGGACGGAATTGCAGCCCTAATAACGACCCATTTTTTTCTTTTTTCTGTAACTGCCTTAAGTACTTGTTATCGCTTGCAGTAAATGTAAAAGAAATAAAATAAATGTTTTCTGAAATAAAAGTCTCCCCGTGGGTTGCTGTGTTCTTGTCTCTCTATTTCCCGCCTACATTGATGAAACGGCTCTGGAAAAAGTCTAAAAATCATGAAGTGTCGAGTCAACCCCGTCCTGGGTTGGTTGTGTGTCCATTGGGTGTGCGTTGTGTCTGAGGCAGCCTCTGCTCCGTCCTGAGGGACACGCAGGTATTTGAGGAGCCGCTGACCTTCCTTCACCCCACCCCCCGCCCCGAAGACGTGTTTGGGGTGATGTCACTTGGAATAAGACGGATTATGGGGCTTATGAGAGGCTCAGTCTGTTAAATGTCTGACTTTGGCTCAGGTCATGATCTCATGGTTTGTGGGTTCAGGCCCCGCGTCGGGCTCTGTGCTGACAGCTCAGAGCCTGGAGATGCTTCCGATTCTGTGACTCCCTCTCTCTCTGCCCCTCCTCTGCTTGCGCTGTCTCAGTCTGTCTCCTCAAATGTGGACCCAGAATCTTCTTCTTTCTATTTTTGCAGAGAGTCCCCATTTCCCTTTTTTTGGTTCTTATCAACTCAAGGGTTTTTCAAGGATTTTTTTTAATGTCCCTGTGATATTTTCGTGTTCTCTGCTTTCTTGGCTCTGGTGACCCCTCTCCTGTTTGGTTGCCGGAGGCGACCAGAATGTTGTCTGTATCATTTCTGCTTTTTTTTTTTTTTTCCCCTCTGTCTCCAGTGAATGGATGCTTTTCTTCCTGAAGAGGCTCCTTGGACACGGATTCTCGGTGTTCCGGGCGCAGAGAACACGAAGGTGGCTTCTGCCTCATCAGGTGTGTGTCTGCCTGTCCCTGCGTGCGTGTTCCCTGCGATCGGTTAGGTGTCTGACATCAGCTCAGGTCTCTCTTTTTCTGAAAAATAAATACATAAATAAAAACACGGGAACCCTCACTGGCCACCAGGTTGTCTTTTCTTCTCCAGACAGACTCCAAACAGAAGCCGTAAAGAATGTGCTGTTTCCATAAAACGAGTCCCGGTGCAGTCATGTGCGTCCCTCCGTTTTTTGCCGTTTGTGGGGAAGGAAGTAAAGCAGTAAGGAAAGGGGAAAATTGTGCAAAGGCAGACAGAGTGTGAATGGCCGGCCCCGGGCACCCATCTTGCATGGCATCGCGGGTCTGGGCCGGGGTTGAGCACTTAGCGGCTGCAGAGTGCTTCCCGGCGGTAACGACCGGCTCTGGCTGATCCCAGCATCTGTCTCCTTACCCCACCTCACCGTGGCCTCGGTAACTCCCAGCTCCCTGCCCCTAGAGCTGCTTTTAAGTCAGATCCAGACACAGACAGGCTGCTGCTCCTGGGGCTTCTCCTGGGTGTGTAGACAGCGCATGCTCCCTGCGTCCTTAGGTGGTGAAGAAACAGAGCTCTGGGTTCAGCCGTCACCTGCTTTGTTTTCGTTTTTTTTTTCTTTAAGCTAAAACATATATGTTATGTTTTATTTCATTGTGTCCTAAAGAACAATATTAAGTGTTAAATGAGAAAGTCTTAAGAATAAATGTAAATAGGGGCGCCTGGGTGGTTCAGTCAGTTAAGCAACTTGGGTTCCCCGTCTCTGCCCCTCCCCTACTCGCTCTGTCTCCCTCTCAAAAAATAAATACAGGGGCGTCTGGGTGACTCAGTCGCTTAAGCGTCCGACTTCGGCTCAGGTCATGATCTCACGGTTCGTGGGTCTGAGCCCGTGTCTGTGCTCACAGCCCAAAACCTGGAGCTGCTTCGGATTCTGTGTCTCTCTCTCTCTCTGACCCTCCCCTGCTCACATGTGCTCTCTCTCTCTGTCTCAAAAATAAAGATTAAAAGAAGTAAAGAAAAAGAATAAATTTAAATATATATATGTAGTCACATTTAGTTTTGTTGAAATAATGCATATTTATGGACAGTTCCTATTATATGTCAATTATTGAATGAACATTTTGAAAGAAGTATATTTGCTTTCTTGTTTTTTTATATAATTTATTGTCGCGTTGGTTTCCACATAACACCCAGTGCTCATCGCAACAAGTGGTCCCCTCCATGCCCATCACCCCCTTCTCCTCTCCCCCACCTCCATCCACCCTCACTTTGTTCTCAGGATTTAAGACTCAAGTTATAGTTCACCTGCATCCCTCTCTGTAACTTTTCTCGTCCTTCCCCTCCCCCATGGCTTTCTGTTAACGTTCTCAAGGCCCACATCTGAGTGAGAACATAGGGTATCTGTTCTTCTCAGGACACAGATCCTATCACAGGGACCCCGTGCTCAGGACCTTATCTGAAACTAATTATCCACACCCGCCCTCCCAAGCCATCTGCAAATACCGTCGCACCGGAAGATACGGTGGCAACGTATGAAGTGGAGGGGACGCAAACCTTCCGTCTGTAAGACTCGGGGGTGTGGAAAGCACCTCTAGAGTTGTGTCCCCACATTGGCCGTGGGCTTCCTGATTCCTGCTGAGTGTCTACCGCACCCCTTCCTTTGCGCGTACTCTCCACCCTGTCCTCTTGTGGATGACAAGCTTTTTACTCAATATTTTTTTTTTACATTTAATTTTTTGAGAGCAAGAGAGACCGAGTGTGAGCAGGGGAGGAGCAGAGAGAGAGGGAGACACAGAATCCGAAGCAGCTCCAGGCTCTGAGCTGTCAGCACAGAGCGCATCTCGGGGCTCGAACCCACGATCCGTGAGATCATGACGTGAGCCGAAGTCGGCCGCTCAACCGACTCAGCCACCGAGGTGGGCGCCTATGTTGCTTGGAGCCTACTGCCCTCTTACCTTTCCTGGTGCCCCCCCCCCCCACTGAGTTCAGATCCTGCCCGGTCCCCAGAGGGCCCAGGCTGTGTCCCCATCATGTGTGATGTCCCCCTGCGGCCTCGGGCTTCGCTGCCTGCGTCCTCTCTTCTTGGTAGGTGTTGCCCGGTCCCTGACACCTTGCGCGGGCCTGGCTCAGAACACATGTGCGAGCAGGATGTTTGCTTCCATCCGAGGGAGGGGAGCGTCCTCGAGCGCCCAGGCTGGGGCCTTTGATCTGCTCGCATCTCCTCCCACGCCCGCGGGGAGCACCGCCCCCCAGCAGGGGCACCCAGAGCTGTGGGTGCCCATTGGTGCCTGGCCACACTGAGGTGGGAGGCGAGCGTGCCACTCAGGGAGGCTGGCTCGGGCGGGTCCTCGGCGAGCAAGCACTTGCTGGTCCCACGGGCCGCGTGGCTTGGAGATCAGAGCACGGGGCGCATTAGCCGCCGGCCGGGGGATTGCACACTCGGCCTCATACTTTCCGCCTGATACATCGCCTGTGTCCCTTCCAAGCCGGGAAACGGGAAGTGAGCACTTGAGGGTGGAGTCCGGGAGGCCGGTCTCACCAGCCGCAGGGCCTCTGCGGAGGCTGCTCGCTGCCGGCACAGCCATGGAGAGGCGCTGGGGGCTGCTGTGTGTCACCGTGCTGGGCTTTGTGGCCTGCGTCCAAGGTGAGGGACGGTTTGCCCCCAGGCAGAGCGGGGCGGCTGCGGGCCAGGAGGTCGGCTTGCTTTCCAAGTCTTCCGGAGACTTCTAGGCGGTCCGTGGCTTGAACTTGCCAGGCGGGAATACAGAGACGGGAAGGGTGTCAGGGGACACAGGGCCGGGCGCCCGGGCTGACGGCCACCTGGGTTCTGAATGGCGGAGTCTCCAAGAGCCTGTTTTCCCGAAGATTTCAGCCCGAAGGGGTGCAGGGTCTGTTGCTTGATGGAAAGCCTTCGTTCTGCCTGTTTGCCTTGGGGGTGAGGGGGGACGAAGCAGAGTTAGAACTCGGCGTGGGGGGGTGGGGACGGCTTTCCGGGACTTGGTTCTGACTGAGGGAAACGCCTGCCTCCGAACTCCGCAGTGTTTGGAGGAAGGCCATCCTTTCTCGTCGCAAATGAAAAAATCATGTGAATTGTTTACGCCCAAAGCTGCCCGTGTGCGTGTTCCAGATTGTTCCGGGCATCGGGGTGTGGCTGAGCGGGCCGGGCTGGGCCGGGGCTGCCCCGAACGCACGAGATGTGGGATTGAAACAGCCCTTTCTGTCCTGTAAATGTTCGCGTTCCCAGGAGGGACGTCCGGGTCGGGGGGAGCCTGGGAAATGCTGTCCGTTCGGAGCGGCCAGTCGGCTGAGCTGGCAGTCGGGTGTCCGTGTCTTCGGGCATTTTGCGTTCTTGTTCGCGGACGGGAGACTTGACGGGGGCCAGACACCGGGCACCCAGCCTGGTGGGCTCCATCGATGGAGCGTCCGACTTCGGCTCAGGTCATGATCTCACGGTTCGAGGGTTCGAGCCCCGCGTCGGGCTCTGTGCTGACAGCTCGGAGCTTGGAGCCGCTTCAGATTCTGTGTCTCCCTGTCTCTCCGCCCCTCCCCTGCTCACGTTCTGTATCTCTGTTTTTCAAAAATAAACGAATGTGAGAAAAATAAATAAATACAAGTAATTAACAAGAAAAGATGGGCAGGCAGGGGCCGCCATTGCCCCGTTCCCCCAACCCCGACCCACGAGGCTGGGGGCGCGAGGCAGAGTGATGCGGCTGCATCAGAGCGACGAGAAAGAGAGAGGAGACGCAGACGCAGGGATGAGGTTGCCCAGGCCGGCGAGGTGTCCTGCCCTGTTGAGGGAAGAGGAAACGTCTGGAAAACACTCGCGAGTTCCCTGCGAAAATGCACCCACTCTGAACGTGTACCGTATCTGGGGCTGCATTCAGGTGCCTCCACGTTTTGGCTTTGCTTCCGGAAACCGTGGTGTGTGACAGGGAGGCCAGGCCACGCCGGGCCACGCCCCAGAAGCCATCGAGAGGCTGTCGGGTCTCTGCCTCTTTCTGCGTGGCTCCCGACGGGCCTTGAACCTGGTGAATCTGTGGGCGTGAAGGCCAAGCCAGAAGTGGGTCATTGAAGGCTGGGTGTTGTCGCCCGGCCGGGCTATCCAGGGCTGTGGTGGCTCTCGGTGTTGGGTGTGCAGACGGACCAGGGAGGGACCTGGTTGAAGGCATGACGCCAGGGCCCGCCCCTGCGAGATGCTCGTTTGGTATGTGGGTGCGGCTGGACACCTGCTGGTTCAGAAGTGCTAGACGGGTGAGCCCTGAGCACCGGGCCATCTGGTTTACCCGGGGCGGAGCCCCGTGGTTCCGTGGCAACAGGAGGAGGCTGCTCTGGGGTGGCCCCTGGGGTGCTGCACCGTCACCCCGCGTGCCAGCCTGCAGGTCACATCTGTAGGGAGACATGTGACCGCCGGCCATTCTCAGCTGGGGGCGGCCTCGACCCGGGGGGACGCGGGGAATCTCCGCACTCATGCTTGGTGGTCTCAGCGGTGCGTGGGGGTGGCTGTCCTCACACGGGGGATCCCACAGAAGCTGTCCGGGGTCTGCCCCACGCACCAGAGGGTCCCCCAGCCCCAATCTTGCCGGTGCTGGTGTTAGAAAGCCCATGATAGCAGACTCCGTCTGTCTGTCTGTCTGTCTGAATATCATCTGTCTACTGTCTGTCCGCATAGACGTCTCCTATCTATGTATCCATCAGTTATTTATCTATCTGTCTGCCTATCCATCATTATTTATGTACCTGTTCATTTATCTATCCATCATCTATCCATCCATTGTATGTATGTATGTATTGTACGTACATATGTATGTATGTATGTATCTATCCATCCATCTATCCATCATTTATTTATCTACCTGTTCACTGATCTGTACATCATCTATCCATCCATTCTATCTATCCATCTATCATCTATCTATTTTAACTCTATCATCTATCTATCTATCTATCTATCTATCTATCTATCTACCCTATCCATCCATCAATCAATTATCTAAACTATCTACCTCTCTGTCCATCCACCTATCCATCATCCATCCAACTTATATATCCATCCATCCGTCCATCCATCATTTATGTATTTATTCATCTGTGTATACATCTATACATTATCCAATATGTATCATCCATCCATCTATATCCATCATTTATTTATTTATCAATCTGTGCATCCAGTTATCCATTATCTATGTAGATAAGTAGATAGCTATCTGTCCATTATCTTTGCATCCATTATCTATTATCTCTCCATCCTTCCATCCACCATATATCTGTCTCTCTCCATCTATGTACCTGCTTCCCCATGTATGTATGTATCTTTCCTTCTACACTCTACCTGTCCATCCATCCTTCTATCATTTGTCTACCTATCATTTATCCATCCATCCGTCCATTTCTCTATTATATCTGTGTATCATATCTATCATCTCTAGCTATCTACCAATCTATCATCACCGTCTTCAATCCATAGATTCAGACTCATTTTAAGGAATTGCCCCACAACATGGCGGGTTTGGCAAACCCAAAATCCACGGGGAAGGCTAGAAACTCACCAAGCTGCCATCTTGCCGTGTTGAGTCCGAATCCCATCTTGTCTGGGAAACCTCGCCTTCAACTGATCGGAGAAGGCCCACCCACACTCCCGCAGGTGAAGTGCTTTCCCCGCCTGTGATTGTAGATATTAATCCCATGGACAGAACACCTTCCCGGTGGCATCGAGGCCAGTGTTTGACCAGACATCCGGGCGCCGTAGCCCAGCCACGCTGACACAGAAAAATAACCCATCCGGGATGTTTTCATCTTCCCGCTTCACGGTCTGAGATGCCAATTCAGTACATTTTCTGCAGGCTCCAAGGTCTTTTTTTTTCTTTTTCTTTTTTAAATGTTTTATTTATTTCTGAGAGAGAGAGAGACAGCGTGAGTAGGGGAGGGTCAGTGAGAGAGGGAGACACAGAATCCGAAGCAGCTCCAGGCCCTGAGCTGTGAGCACAGAGCCTGATGCAGGGATCAAACCCATGAACTGTGAGATCGTGACCTGAGCCGAAGTCGGATGCTCAACCGACTGAGCCACCCAGGCCCCTACACATATATTTTTAAAGAATGCGAGTGCAGAGAGTAAAGGAGGACCTTACGATGTTGCCCGGAGGGCGTAAGACGTATTCCCTGGGTGTCCCCGCTGACTTCTTCCCAACAGCATTACCCATGGGGCCTTCTGCATGCCCAGAGCGGGTCCTATAGACTGAAGGCCCCGGAGTGCTCGCCCACGGGCAGGTGGCCCCGAAGGCCTGGTTCCCATGAACCCGGCTCCAGGAGACATCGGTAAAACCTACGCGAGGAAAAGTCAGATAAATGTCCCCAAGGGGCGCAGCTCCAGGGACGGGGGTTGGGAAGAGACCGGGGAGGTCACATGAGGCGGAGGGGACACGTGATGGAGGCGCGGGCGGTAATGACACCCAAGGGCGTATGACTCTGCTGCTAATAGTCTGAATGGTGCCAAGGCTTCAGATGATAATCCTGGTTGGGTTTTCTTTTCTCTTTTATTCTCTTCTTATTTTCGGAGTTCGCCCGGGGCTGATTTTCTCCTTCAGAAAACGGTTGGGGAGGGGAGGTCGGGTGCAGCGGTGGGGAGTGGTGGTTGGGTGTAGCAGTTGGGGGAGGGGAGGGC